CACTATGAGTTTACAGTAATGCCGTTTGGGTTAACGAATGCCCATGCTGCATTTATGGACTTAATGAATCGGGTGTTCAAAGAGTTTTTGGACCAATTTGTCATAGTCTTCATAGACGACATACTAGTGTACTCGAAGAGCCTGGAGGAGCATGAGTTTCATTTGAGTAAGGTTTTGCAGACTTTAAGAGAAAACGCACTGTATGCTAAGTTTAGCAAGTGCGAGTTCTGGCTCAATCGAGTAGCATTTCTTGGGCATGTGATCTCTGGAGAAGGAATCTAAGTAGATCAAGCAAAGATTGAGGCTGTAATGAAGTGGCCGAGACCAACGACAGTAACAGAGGTTCGAAGCTTTTTAGGTTTGGCCGGATATTACCGACGCTTCGTGGAAGGGTTTTCGGCCATAGCAACACCGTTGACACATTTATTGAAAAAGGAAACGAGGTTTGAATGGACCGACAAATGTGAAAGGAGTTTTCAGGAATTAAAGCATAGATTGATGACGGCACCGATGTTGACTATTCCGTCAGGATCCGGAGGATACGAAATTTATAGTGACGCGTCGTTGAAAGGATTGGGATGTGTACTCATGCAAAATAGACGAGTAGTGGCCTATGCGTCAAGACAGTTAAGACCGCATGAGTTGAACTATCCGACGCATGACTTGGAGTTAGCCGCAATAGTGTTCACCTTGAAGATTTGGCGACATTATTTGTGCGGAGAAAAATTTCAGATTTATACCGATCATCAGAGCCTCAAGTATTTATTTTCTCAAAGGGAATTAAATATGAGGTAGCGTCGTTGGATGGAATTACTAAAGGATTACGACTGTGATATTTTATATCACCCCGGAAAGGCAAACTGGGTAGCGGATGCATTGAGTAGGAAGTCAAGCATCGCGCACTTGATGGTCAAGGTATGGACTTTGTTGGAAAAAGTGCGAGACTCGGAGTTTAAGTTTGAAGTAAGTCAAGTCTCGAGTCTGCTAGCCACGTTAAGGATTGAACCGGAGATTCAAATTAAGATTAAGGTTTTGCAGTCTACAGACCCAAAAACTCAGAGGATTCTGGAGATGGATGCTACTAAGAGGAAACCGGACTTCCAAGTATCCGAGGACGGGATCTTAAAATTCTGAGGACGATTGTGCGTGCCTGACGATGCGGAACTTAAGGAAGAGATTTTATCGGAAGCGCATCGTAGTAGTTATAGCATCCACCCTGGTAGTACGAAAATGTATCAGAATCTGAGGCAGTACTACTGGTGGAATGGTATGAAGGTAGACATCGATAAGCACGTGGCTAAGTGCCTGACGTGCCAACAAGTAAAAGCGCAACATTGTAAACCCAGAGGGTTATTGCGACCTTTGGAAATTCCGGAGTGGAAATGGGAGCATATCACTATGGATTTTGTGATGGGTAATTGTCGATAGATTGACCAAGTCGGCACATTTCTTAGCAATGCGAAAGGACTTCGTATTGGATTGATATGCTGAATTGTATGTGCAACACATCGTTCGATTGCACGGAGTATCAGTGACGATTACGTCGGACCGTGATCCTAGGTTCATCGCCAATTTTTGGAAAAGTCTGCAGACGGCGTTGGGATCAAAGCTGCAGTTTAGCACAGCTTATCATCCACAAACGGATGGACAGTCTGAGAGGACGATTCAAACTTTAGAGGATATGCTTCGGGCATGTGTTCTTGATTTTCAAGGTAAGTGGGAAGAACAATTGCCCTTAGTAGAATTTGCTTATAATAACAGTTTCAGCAGAGTATTGGGATGGCGCCGTTTGAAGCGCCATATGGCAGAGCATGTAGAACGCCCGTATGTTGGGACGAAGTTGGAGAAAGAAGTATAACCAGGCCAGAGTTAGTCCAACAGTCGGTTGAGGCGGTTAAGATTATTCGCGAAAGGCTGAAAACAGCGCAAAGCCGTCAAAAGAGTTATGCAGACAGAAGGCGAAGGCCTTTGGAATTTCAAGTAGGGGATCACGTATTTCGTAAGGTATCGCCCATGAGAGGATTATCTCGGTTCGGCAAGAAAGGCAAGTTGAGTCCGAGGTACGTTGGACCATTTGAGGTGTTGGAAAGAATTGGAGATTTAACTTATCGCCTTGCATTATCACCAAATTTGGCTCAAGTGCATAATGTGTTTCACGTATCGATGCTGAGAAAATACGAACCGGATCCGACTCATGTGTTAAACTATGAAGAAATAGAAGTTGACGACAGGGTGTCGTATGTTGAAAGACCAATAAGGATCGAGGATCGGAAAGAGCGCGTTCTGAGGAACAAGACGATCCCGATGGTCAAGGTTGTGTGGGAACATCACGGGACAGAAGGCGTGACTTGGGAAAGTGAGGAGCTAATACAACGTCAATACCCCCATTTGTTCGAGTAGTAGGTTGAATTGTAAATTTCGAAGACGAAATTTTTGTAAGGGGGGAAGAGTTGTGACATTCTGAAATTTGCCCATTTGGGATTTATGAAATGAGTGGTTTTATTAACGTACTTGTAGTTAGGTCTCGCTCGGAACTGATCATTCCTGGGATACTAACCGTTAGGGAAGGGCTAATTAGGGATTTAAATTCGCGCGACTAAAGAAATTCGGTCGTGAACTGACTTTCGACCATAGAATCGTCGATGTGACATTTTGAGCCAATGTAGGCCGATCTTAGGATAGTTATGGGCCGGTTCGTCATTGTCATATGAGTGGATCACGGGTGGTTCCGTTTGACCACGAGGTGAGTTGACGAACGATCCAGAACCTATACCGAACGATCGTGCCCATCGGAACTAGCAATCGATCCTCGCGATTAAATTGACAACCGAGGTCGTCATGATCCGAATGAACTTGCACGTGACTTGATTTAGTATCAGTCACGGGTCGAATATGCGAATTTCCCCAAAAGCCGCCCGTTAGTCTGAGGCACGCTCAAGTTACGTTACATAAAATTCAGTTATTAATTAGAGATCAAATTGGGTATCAAAAATTTAGGAAGTCACTACAGGATATTTGGACGACGTTGTTATTGGAATGTTCAGTCTTGGAATTATCCGAATCCTTTAGAAAAACTGAATTTCGGCGAAGGATGGAAAATGACCGTTTTACCCCTGGAACTTTGTTAAGGCCAAGTGTTATTGGGGAAGGGCATTTTGGTCATTTCGCCCTAACTTTAGAATTGACAATTTTTGGACAATTTTGCCCTTAGAATTTTATGAAATTCCCAAATTACCCATGGATATTTTTGGAAAAGATTTGATCTCGGCCGTCGATCTCAGGATAAGAACGAATATTGGCTGTCGATTGAAAAGTAGAGAGAGGGGCAAGATGGTCATTTTGCGATTAGGGGCACAAATTATTGGTTTTTAAACCCATTTTCCTCTCTCTCTCCCCCATTCTCTCTCCCTCTCTCTCGGCAACTCCCTCTCCTCCCCCTCACCGCCAATTGCCCCTCTCCCCTTGGCCGCGCCACCGCCGTCCGGCCGCCATCCGCCGCGCCACCGCCGTCCCGTCGCCAAGCCTCGCCTTCACTACCTCACGCCACCGCCGTTTCCCTCTCTCTCTCTCTCTCTCTCTCTCTCTCTCTCTCGTGACCGTGGACAAGCCGACCCAAGCCGAGCCGCCACCGCCGCCGTTGCCGATCGTCGCCGCTGCAAGGTCACCGCCGTAGCCACCCTGTTCCAACCGCCTAGTCAACCTTGGATAGGTTGATTTTGCTTGGAAATTTCCAAGTAAGTCGCAATCTAACCCTTGCCTAGGACATCGGGTATTATCGGACTCATTTAGATGCGGTTTAGGGTAATTTAGGGACTGATTTGATTGCGGGCCTTAGGGACGAGATTGAGGTATTTTGGTGAAAAATTTAGAGGCCAATTAAGGGCTGAAAAATGTTGATTTAGGTGCTGGAAAATTCTGTTTGGATTGGCGAGTGGATAATTTGATTCGGTTCGTAATTGCGTGAAATTGTCGTGTGGTGCCGGGAATTGTTATGCTGTGATTTGCTGAGAAAATGACGTGATTTGTGATGGTTGTATGTGTGTATGTAGGCTGAATTGAAATGGTTCGAATTGATGCATTGATGTGCATTTAATTGATGCCCAAGTGTGTGCACATGTGAGATTTGAGGCGTGCGATATGCGTGTGATCACTAAAAGGCCCTGAGGCGTGTTTACGTGGGGTACAGATAAAATACGGTGTGTTGGTATGTTTGTGTGATCACTAAATCCCTGAGGCGTGTTTACGTGGGGAATTGAACCGGCCTGAGGCGTGTTTACGCGGGTCGTGATACGACTGTAGGATCGGACCGAGGTGTGTTATGCTCGGGTCGCAATCATGTAGGCCTGAGGCGTGTTTACGCGGGCTGAGGAAAGGAAGTGAGAATGGGATCGGGCCTGAGGCGTGTTTATGCGGGTCGCGATCATGTAGGCCTGATGTGTGTTTACGCGGGCTGAGGAAAGTGATTGAGCACGAGATGGTGCGATGTGGCAAGTTAAATGAAAATGATGTGGTGGTGCGTGAACGAGTGTGAATTGTGGAGTTCGGGAATGTGGTGTGTTTGACATGTGCCTTCGAGCATGAGATTGGGTTGGAAAGTGCATGCGATTTGTAAATGTGAATGTAAGACTAACGTGCAGGTTGCGTGTATCGAGAACCAGGTAAGTACGATTGTGTGGATGTTGTTTGTGTGTTGCTTGATTCGGTGTCTGAACTTGTCTGGAATACGTGGTAGCCTAGGTAAGGTTTAGGTTGTGTACTTATTGAGAAGTGTCTCATGGTTGTATCAACCAAACCATTTCAGAGCACCCACCCGAGCCATGAACCTTCCGCCGTCGCCGCCGCAGCGTTTTGGGATTGTTATGCATACTGATCATGATGTTGTAGAATACCCGATAGACGAGAATTTGACCTGGATTAAGCATACTTCTGTCGTATGGGTAGACATAGGGCAACCTCTTTGGCAGGCCCATACCTACACTGCCTAGATGTTTAGGGACGGGATGGACGAGTTCGGACCCGTCCGAGGAGTTGATGTGCCCTTTGACGGAATAGGGGACTGGGATCCGTCGGCCATACCCCTTCCAGATGGAGAGATGACTAGTTTGAAAACTAGTCTAGCCCAGTCCGGACATCAGCCTGATCCTACAGTACCGGAATTAGATCCGGAGTCGAAAGAATCCCAGGCAAGGTATGATCCAATGAATGTAGATCTAGGAGTAATACCCGAGGAAGAACCCAGGGAGGATGAGCCGGAGGATGAGCCAGAGGACGAGCTAGTAGAGGAGCCAGAGGAGGAGCCAGAAGAGGAGTCCGATGACGAGAAGAGGATTGAGGGTCAGATAAAGTCGGGAGATGAGGATAACCCGATCAAGATTGAGGCTGATTCGGAGTCGTCGGATGAGCATGTGCCTGATGAGGATTCGAATGGGGATTCCGAAAAGAGTGAGTCAGAGTGGATGCCATCTAGAGGGCGTAGGGATTAGTTTTGGAGCTGAGGAAGAGTTTGGAAGTGTCCCATTTTGGTGTAGTGCCTACCCATGCTACTAATCTTTTTGTGATATCGGTGGTTTGCAGTTTAGTAGTTCAGTGTGCATATTTTGCTTCGTGGTTTGTAAATGGCGGTTGTGGCATAAGTTTATATTGTAAATGGATATTGTACTTAAATCGAGGTATAGTATAAGATTTGGCGGTTTAGCAATTTATTCTCCCTAGTACCCTTGGTAAATCATTGTCTGGGTGTTTGTTGTTTCCGCCGCGATTAAACTCTGATGGGTTCATTTGGGTCGGCGACGTTTCCTGGGACGTCGCACTAATTCGACCGAAGAGGGATGTCGCGTGCTCGATGGGGTTCGGGGCGTGACAGTTATTCGGCTTTATCCCCAAGCCTACATCCACTTTCAATACTAACAACTACAATAAGGCTGAAATCTACTAGTAATCTTCAAGACAAGTTACAATCAACAAATATCGCATTTCAATATATCACACTATCAGGAGTCATGTACTATTATCATTCTTGTACACTTGCTCTTGTCATTGATTACAAACAATATCACCACACAGACATTGACATCAGGATAAACAATAGCTAATAACAAAAACCGAGCAAAGAAGAAGACTCAAAGGACAAGACTCATTGTGTTTGTTTTTCTCCCAACCTAATTACTTCTTTTGGACTCAATATAGCGCCAGCCATCCAGACCATTGCCCATCGAGATCCTCAAGTAGCCGTTGGTTCTAGCCGTTGCCAACAATAGACGTCGCTAGAAATTGTCAGAACAGCTCTTTGGCAATGACTGTTTCCAAAACAGTGTCAGTGTACTTTTGTCAGACTTGCTCATTAATGCCAAAACTGCTCTCGTCCAACTCTAGTGATCTTTCTGCGAATTCCAAGCATTTGTAATGGCTGTAATCCCGAACATCCTCATATGGTTGTTATTCAAACATCACCAATGATATAATGTTAGGCAGAGTTGTGTCACCTATACTACCTCATAAAGTCAAATTTTTGAAGTTGGTTTCCCTCCACCGAAATGTTCAATGTAAACCCAGCAATCTATTACTCGACTATAAAGTGAATGGTTTCTTTTCCAAGTTTGCATATCATTTGTAATTGCCCACTTCTTCCACTGCAATAGATTACCAACCATTTTAGCCTACAGATTGTCCCGACCCTCCTGACGGACGGGGAAAAGATGAGTTTAGAGGTATTGTCAAGTTGCGAACCAACGGTCCTCAATTAAGGCGAGTTCTCCCAAGCCCTTACCTCGGTAAGTTTGGAAAATTTATTTAGATTCAATCAATCTTAAGAGAATTTTATCATGTGAGGAAGTCACCACTAACCTTGTAAGGGCCAGCTATGAGCCAAGTGATATTGTCCCAAAGTCCTCATTGAGTTCTTGTTCTCCTCGATTTTTGTACCACCATCCATTCTCCAAATTTTTCATCTTGTTTTGGAGCATCAAAGTTATCTCTTCTAGTTGTAGCATTTTCTGTAGGAAATCTTTCGCCTTGTTCAGCTTCCCCAGGCACAATCCTACCATCGCAATCTTCCGTTCTATGTCAATGACAGCCACAATGAAAGCGAATTAGATGCAAGCCTTCATATTCAATCTTGAATTGATTCCCAGCAATAATAAGAGATTTAGTGAGATCAATTTGAACACACATCCGGGCGTAATTACCTCTTTCCGCAGCAAGTGTTGTAGCATCCGCCTTCAGAAGAAGGTTAATTCAATTCCCTATGCGCATTAAGAATTATTCATCAAAGTATTCAAGTGATAGCCGAGGAATGTGAACCCAAGCTGTCACTTTGTTTATAGTAGCCTTTTCTAAAATAAAGTTGGGAACCATAGGTTGTATCACCAAGTAATGGTCGAAAATCATCCAAGGACCATTTTTCAAAACCGACTCATGGTCCTCGACCAAATTAAACTTAACAACAAAGAATCCATTGCTAACATCAACCATTGACAGTTCACCATTCGATTTCCACATAGTCAATAGTCATAGCAGGAGAAAGGAGTACCCTATATTACGACCCAACAATTTGATTATCAATGCTTTGCGCCAAGGGGATCTGAGTCGGCTTTTATCTTCCCTACAAATTCCGATGACTGGACAATCGAAATATTCCTCATCAATTACTTCTTCATCAGAATCGTCCCAGATTGACGAATCCTCTTCCATTTCAATGGAAATTCCAATATTTTTACCCAAGAGGGGCTCACGATAAGAAGGGCGATTCATCATTCCTCGCGTACCAATACGAGCTTCAAAACTCAATTTTGCCTTCTTTTTACTTCTATCAAGTTGGTCCACCTCTTGTTGCGAAAGCTCAGTGGAGTGGAGAGGGGGAATTCGAGAAGACATACCTAGTTTGCAGGTCCAAGTACGCGTCGCTCGCGAAAACCCTCTAGAATCCGTCACCATCTATTTTAATATATGGATAACCACCCAATTTTTCGCACACTTTGGCATGTGCCAAAATACTAGATAAATTAAAGCAAACTTTAAATTATTTGAACACATTCACATATTCTTTTGTATTTACCCTTAGAAACCTATCACCGTTTTGGATATAGTGGGCCTGGATTAAGTAGATTGGTTCTCAGCCTAGAACTGGGAATCAACATTGACTCTCGCTTCCAAAAGATTGAAATCGAGAACCAAGCCGCCCTGTTCCGTCGCTTCCTGGGGAGAGAGGCTTGCTTTGCTTTGCATTTGTTTTCCGTGTACCCCTCTTCAATTTTTTTGTCAGATCTTTTTCTCAACTTTTTATTTGCTATTACTTTTCTTTCTTCTTCTCCATATTCTTCTCCAAATCTCTTCCCCTCATTAAAAAAAAGATTTTGCAATCGATTTGTATTACACTTGCGTATGCAAGTGAAGGCACAGAATGACATTTTCACGCTTAGACACCAAGAAAAAGGGAAAAATGTTAGAAAAGTCATAAATATATTGCATTTGTGTCAATATAGTCATAAATCTTCTTTTGCCTTTTTGGTACCAATTTAGTCCTAAACCTTTTGATTTTGTGCAAATTTAGTCAATCTAGTTAATTTTGGCCAAATATTACTGACGTGGACGCTGGCCAGCATACGTGGCATCGTTGACGCTAACGTGGGCAATTTGTAATGTTATTTTAATATTTTTCGATTTTTAAATTATTTTTTCTGATTTTTTTTCCTTTTTTTCTTTTTTTTTTCTTACTTTCTTCTACCTTTGGCCAATGACCGACCACAAGTGATGGCCAGCCACTAGCCATTGCGGCCAGGCTGGCCCCGCCTTGGTGAGGTTGTCATCGCCCACCATAAGCAAGGCCAAGTGAACCCTTGAACCTTTGCCTAGGCGATGGCGAGCCCCGGCGAGGACTCCCCTAGCAAATATGGCAAGGCCGGCCCTCGCCCAAGCCATGGCAGCCTTGCCAAGAGTCACCTTGGTGCAGGCAATGTCCGGCAAGGTCGTTGTGGCTTAGGCAAGGGCCGGCCTTGCTGGATCTAGCGAGGGACGGCCTTGCCAGATCTAGCGAGGGGAGCTCTCGCTGAGGCATACCTTGCCTAGGCGAGGGTCGGCCTTGCCAGATCTAGCCTGGGCGAGGCCAACCCTCGCTGAGACTCGCCTAGGCAAGGGTGAAGGTCGGCCGGGCCTCCCTTGTGGCGGACAATGGCGACCTCGCCCAGGTGAGGTTAGCCCAGCCGGCCATCGCCTTTGGCCAGTGACCAACCGACCACTGACCAAAGGTAGAAGAAAAAAAAAAGGAAAAAAAAATCAAAAAAATAATTTCAAAAAGTGAAAATTAATAAAATATTATTAAAAGTGATGCCATGTAGGTCGGTCAAGCTCTACGTTAGTAAGATAAGACTAAATTAGCTGAAAAGACTGAATTAGCACAAAGATAGAAGATTTATGACTAAATTGGCACCAATATAATAGGTTTAATACTTTTTTTTACACTTTTCCCCCAAAAAAAAAACATAGCCAGTGATCTTTATTTCATCCAAACGAGAGCTTACAATATCATCTTAATCACAACCAAATGTCAAATCATTGGAACCCTTTGCAGCACAAGTTTCGCTCGTGGCATAGGTTTTACTTGTTCTATTTTTCACAGTACTAGTTGAATAAACATGGACCAGTAGGTAATATATTCCAACGACAAGAGAGGCATCGGCCGGAATCTCTACTCTGGATATATATATATTAAAATAGTGAATTCACCAGGCCATTGAAAACTGCAGAAGAATAGCGTGCCGCCAATAAAAGGGCGTCCAAATGAAAATCCCCACTCAGAACCAGCAGGGATCTACTTAAAGCCGAGATCCCCATCTTTAGATTTGCAATGAACCGTGAGCAGCGGTCCTTCTGGTAAACTATTGATGGTATGGGCAGAGTCTCCGGAGCTGGCTTGTACGAAGGCAAGAATCATTACGAACACTGCGAAAAATTTAATTGACGAGTCCATGTTCGTAACCTTCGTGGTTTTTGTTGTGGAATATGAAAGCAGTGGAGCACGGTGTAGCGGGCAATTTATGGAGGATTAAGATGCTTCATTCGGTAAGAAAAAAAAAATGTTGACACCTAAATTCAAGGTGTAGAGATTAAGTGCCAAAGAAATCCGGGCTGTGATCGAGAAACAAATTATGGAAAGAAATCCAAAATCGGGGGGCAATAAAGATCAATAACACCGCATTAATCCAAATGTTTTTTTTTTTTTTTTTTTTTGCGAAAGGTATAGGATTCATATAAGAAAAACTTAATCCCGGTCTCTTCCCAGACATACATCAGTATCGACTTCAAACCAAATCCTCGTTTATGAAATGACCAACGCAAAATGTTTCAAGACCGACTTGGCCGAGGAGGGATGTCAACCACGCTTGCTGATTAAACTTGTCCGAAGAAGTTTAGGAAAGCATCGACAAACGAACTTGAAATCAACTAGGGGAGATCGAGTGGGACTCGACCGCTTTAGAGTTTTCAACTATGAAGCAGGGCAAGACAGATTGTTGGTGATACTTCACGGAAACGAGATCCACGGTGACGAGCAGTGATGGAGTGCAGAACCGTGACTCCAAATAAGCCGGCTATGGCGATGCGCGTTGATGTAAAGGCTTCGAACGAAGGTTCAACTCCCTCGGATGCACTGACGGTAAAAAAAAAAGGGATAACAGAGTGTTTCTCGACCATGGTAAGGAGTGTTTCTCTATGTATTTCTTCCACACCATTGTTCTCTCTCGGTTGCACCGATGCCCCCCTTAGTGAACGTTAGTCCCCTCCATGGAGGTAAAAACCTTGAAAAACAAAAGAGGGGCTTCTTTTCCCTCTCTTCTTCTACCGCTTATTGCCCTAAAGAGGAAAAGAATAGGTGTTTTTTTTCCTAGGGTTTTGTGTAGTAGTGACAAGTAGGGTCGTCAAATGGGTCGGGTTAGGTTAAAAATGGTTCGATCAATTTAATTCGTTTTGACTCATTTCTATGCAATTTAAATTTTAATGACTTGTACCCGGCCCAACTCATATTATCAAAATAACTCGTACTCATCCATTTAACGCACTTTAAGCTCTTCACTTGTGTATGTTACTTGGATAAAAACTTCACATCAAACTAAAGAAGTAATATAAACAATAAAAAATTAGTAGATAAAATAAAGAACGTAAAAAACCTATAAATTGAAATATTTATAAAAAAAATAACTCTTGATAAGAGAAAATCCGATCAGCTAACCTTTGACATGAAAATAACATTTGCTTATAAGAACTCTTCTAGCAAGCGCCAAGTTCGTTGTGCGCGGAACGAAATTAAGCAAAAACAATAGCCAGGTGAATCGGCCTTTTGGTCAATGTATCTTTATTATTGCCCAACGGTAGCAAGTACTACTTATTTCTATGTCATCTCAGCAAAGTCCAAATGAGGTATCTTGAGTCTACACCTCCATCTTCAATAGCAAAACCCAAAAGAATTAGCTAAAATAAGAACGAGCATATCTCACAGGAGAGGGCTCCAATGGAATTGCTTCGAGGAACAAATCAAGGATGCCAGCATTTCCGGAATCATTCACAAGACGCGAAAGACCTCATCCCACACTTGATTGTCCACTTCTGCATCGTCTGGAAGTCGTAACATAATCTGCAATGACCAAACAATATCAAAACCAGCATTATTTACCATAATATAATTCGGAGAAAGAATTTCCACAGGAAAACAAAATAAGGCAGTAAATTTAGAGAAACGATCGTTCGTTAACTTTCTCTTGTCGGGACACATGCTTCCTCGATAAAAGTTGAAGTATATATTCAATGGAAGCGAAGTAAGCTATCTTCCATCTCAAAAATGCTTAAACGGGTAATCGCCTTGTGTTTCTACCTCACAAAATATCACTCGGCCCTAAATTTATTTCTCTGTCTAAGTAATTCTCAGCTAAAGTAACTTCAAATAAAAATATTACTTCTCATGAGGATTGAATTTCCGAGCCATTACCTCCGGAATGATCCGGCGAGCACGAAACCTTGCTGTCTTATTGGAGGCAGAGGCAGCAACGAGGAGGAAACTGAGGAACTTCTCCAGGAAGGCATTGTCGCAGCCTGAGGAGGCTTTGGGGGCGCGAGTGCTGCCAAAGTGGCGCGATCTTAAGAGATAGAGGTCAAAGTGATTACACCTTTGGCCGTGTGGCTAGTTGAGGTCCGGGTAGGGTCGAGTTCTATCAGGCCGGGCCTAACGGGCCGAGTCAATTACGGTCAAACTGAGTTGACCCAAGTCTTTGCAATCATTCATTGTTAAAAATTTTTCTTCGGGATACCAATCAAAAAAAATTTCATGTGTCAGTCAACACAGATATCCACCTAACTTCTCGCGAACAGTTCCTTCTCGAGTGCGCTCCACTTCTTCCACTTTAGTAGATTCCGATCTATTTCAATATATGGATAACCACCCAATTTTTCACACTTTGGCATGCGCTCAAGCACATATGGCTCCTATTCATCGATAAGGAGTCCTTATGGTGCCAATGAATTTACTCCAACTTTCTCAAGAAGAAAAATTTCTGGGTAGCAACCAAACCGACATTCTGTTCTTGGAGCTGGAAAAAAATCCTTGAACTTCGTTCGAACTTCCAGTTAAACTTCCAGTGGAAGATAGGCGACGGGGCCTCTGTATCATTCTGGTTTGATAACTAGCATCTCAGGAGTCCTCTCTATAAATTTTTTTCCGATAGAGATATATACTATTCAGGCATCCCAAGAAATGCATCGGTTCGGGATTTTTCCTCTTCGGTCTGGCAACACTCTAACTTTCTGGCCAGTTTCAACTCTTGGTCAGATAGAATACCAGCTCTTGATGCCGAAAGACCTGACCGCATATCCTCGGAAAGGCCACTCTTCTGGTCAGTTTTCCACTTCTTCGGCGTGGGAACTCATAAGAAACAAA